ACTTTCTGTCAGTACCAGAATAATCTTATCAGTTGTTCATGTCAGTATCAAGGAAGACTGTCATTAAGACAACTGAAATATGAAAGACCATAACAGTCTTGTGGAGAATTAGATAATGCCTGCCATCAGTGAGCAATTGTTGATTTAATTTAATGCTTTCGTAGTGTTTATTTTTAGGTCTTTTTAGATTTAGAGAGTTTTAGATTCAGACCTCTTTAGGAGGTCCAATCTGTAGGGGTCTCATGATAATATTATGAATAGGGAAGAAAGGGGAAAAAATGTCCTTTCCAGTTATAGCTTAGTAGCTTCAGTAGAGCTAATACACAGGAGAAATGAGAGCCAGAAGAGGTTACATTAAGAGAAGAGAGTTCCACAAATCCAATAAAATATCCAATGCAAAATCATACCTTTTTTTAAAGCTGAAATAATACTAGTTCATTTTTTGAACTGCACTTACCATTCACGTATAAGGTCTATGGTCATGATAAAACGGGTTAATTATTACACGAATATTGCTTTAGCTTCTGTATCTTCTTCATGATTCTTTTCTTATTCCTTTTGTTTCCACAGTTTTCTGGGAATTGAGTTCATGTAAAATGAGGTCATGTAAACCTGAGTTCAAAGCTACCTGTTAAAAGGAAGAGATTGTACCCAAAATCTGAGGGTTTGGGTGTGGTGTGGTGGCAGTGTTCATTCTGCACCATGAGCTGCATCAGAGAATAAACATGAACAGTAACTTCACTCTACTTTAATTTAGGAGATGCTACTTGATTTCCTAGTCACCAGCACTAAACTTGTTTATAGTTGAAAACTGCTGAAAATATTTAATCCAAATAGCTTTTGGATTAGCCCTCAAGTAACGTAGGGCTTTATTTATATTCTGAGCTTTATTAAATGTTTATGAAATTCTGTTAAAGTGAGAAATGCTATGTAAGAACTAACTTTTTTAGTACAAGCTTTACTTTGTGACAAAAGCAATAGTGACATAACAGTATGTAGTATTGAACAAATCTACATAATATACAGTTCATATGAGACACACTTTGTCATGAGACATAGGAAAGTGTCTTTCCAAAAAGCTAATGTATTAAGCTTTGCACTCATTAAATTCCCACATTCACCTTTTGAATAGAAGCATTCTGTATGCATTACAAATGCTGTTTTTTGTTTGTTTGTTTGTTTTTGTTTTATCCCCTGTATGTGCCCTGTTTCTCCCTCATATTTTGCCACCTGGAAACATTGCTCTCTCTGTTCAAATTTCCTAAATGTGTATTAGTTCCATCTATGATGTAAGGTCTTACCTGGACGGCAAACGTGCTTTGCATTGTTTGTGCAAGTGTACTGTAATCTGTAAACATACAGCAAGTGTGCTGTATGTTTGGAAATACACAGCACAAATATTGTGTGACTTCTTAGCAAAAATGCTAAAGGTCCAACGCTTTCTGAATAAGTTGAATATAACATCTTGTCCATGCAATCATAATATGTCCACAAAGTGAGTTCAGTGCTCCTCAAAAGCATCAGGCATGCTTTTTGGTTTCCATGTTCATGGGCTTTATAGAAATCTACAGTTACTCGGAAAGTCATGGTCCAGCATATATCCACCTGACACTACAATTCCTCACAGGCAGCACTAAACAATAGCTGGGAAACCCTATTGAAAATCTGTGCAGTAGTTTGGCAGAAGTATTTCTTTAACAGTTCATGGTGGTATTCATAACAGATAGCTCATCATTTACTTTTTCTGTTATGATTAATTAAATCTCTATTATGCTTCTTTGTGTTTCTAGTTCTTTGGTTTTGACTATCTATATTTGCATTCTTTAATAAATTTAGATTGAAAAGCCTCAGAACACAATTCTCTTATGAATATACATGCGCTACATTGTGATATGGGCCTCTCAGAGTCCCTTGAAACTGTGCAGTTTGCATAACAGATAACAAAAATAAAGTGTTTTCACACAGAAAATAAAAAATGGAAAAGTGCCCCCAATGAGTTGTAACTTAAAAAAAAAAAAAAAAAAAAAAGTCTGATGTCAGAGAAGTTAAATGTCAGTTTGCCTAAGATCACTTAGAAACTCAGTGGCAGAGACTAGAGTATAATTCCCAATCATCCAACATCTTGACCGATGTTTTGCCTATATATTCTCTTTTATAAAGAAAATTGAAGAATCTTAGTATTTCTCTTAGAAGTGTTGCTAGTATGACTTTTACTACTTAAAATTGTGTTGCAGTCTTCTCTTTGCCAGGAAGCTTGGCTTTACATCACATGATTGTAAGGTTCAGAGACCTTTTGGCACTACGGTATTTGGCGCTTGATTACATGCTGGATGTCCCGGTGCTGCTCATTATTCTTAAAAACATTTTGGTCCCTAAGACACCTGTATTACAATCCAACCTGTGAAAAGAGTTTCACTGTCCAGAAGAGAAAAGTTAAAAAAACAACTTTAAGTACACTAGTCTTCCATCTGGCCAAAGTAAATACTACAAAGTAAATACTGTTAACACTAGTGTCTGATCCTTGCAATGATGTCACACAACAGCAAAAAGATAAATTCATCTCATGTTCAATCAGTCTCTATTGAAATTACCAACAAGAAAACCAATAATGTACTCCTTTTTTATGTGTAACTATGATTTTTTATTTGAGAAACTACGTCCCATCTTCTTTCTCATGATCCAGCAAACAGGAATAATTACATAATGAGTGTTTGTCTTTAATTCCCATTGCATGAGAGTAAGCAATGTAGAAATGTAAAGTTCTATATTGTATTATGAATATGAAACTCACAACCAGTCAGTCTCTCCTGTAGTGTGTCTAAGAAACCAGAATGGAAAAGTTGGATCCATTTTTTCCCAATCACTTTTATACTGCAGTTCCCTTATTTTACCTGAATATTTTTTCTGTTTCACCTACCTCAGTCTTAACCAAACTAAAAATAAATGTAATTTAACTGAAAGTACAAGCCAGGTTTCAGGGGAGTAAGTTCAATTTACATTGTATGTTGCTCTGAAATGAAGCACACTGGCTGGAAATTTCAAATGACTACAAGAAACATGTGAAATAAACTTTATTTTTCATGTTGTGTAATCCATTTCATTCATTATTTGAAAATCCAGCAGGAGAATATAAATTTCATAAATAGCAGTTGCCTTGCCACATATACCACCCTCAAATACTAGGAAAACATTCTAGTCAACTAGACTAGAATGGTGGGGGTCTGAAAATATTAAGAATGCTTAAGAGATTTAGTAATGTCTCTGCTTCAGGTTGCTGTCAGCTAGTGTGTTTAATGAATTAAAAAAAAAAAAAAAAAAAAAGCTGACATTTTGCATTTTGTTAAATGCAAGACCCAGTTGGAATATAAAAAATAGATTAACAGCCTCTACCATCACCTCAGCATGGCACTTAATGGCTGCTTGAAGGTACCATATAATCTTCTGGATGGTTTAATTGTTTCTTTTTTCACACACTTAAAGGACGAGAGTGGTTATTAGCCCTGGTGTTCTCACAACATTTTCAGAGTAGAACTTCATTGAATAAAAAGTGCAACTTGCATTACCAAGGATAGGATCTAAGGTTTATACAACACTTGCTGTTAGAAAGCTAAACAGAAGGAAGTGTGTTGACCCTTATAATCATACAAGATTATGTTCAAGAAGCATGAAATTCCTCAATTTTGTACAAACAGAAATCTCTAATCCTGAACTACTTAATAATATAAAAAATAAAAACTTACTTACTAAGTAAAAACTAAAAGCAGAAAACATTGCTGACAAGGTTCCAGTCATAATTTCATTTCAGCATAGTTACTCATTTTAGTTACTTTTTAAAGGTCTGATTTTCTAAACAACATTATTTTTAATTAGCAGGGGAAAAGGAATAAGTAGAAGTAACTGGTGGAAAATTAGCATAAGATTTCTTGAATATGTCACTTGACCAACTGGGAAGTAACTGAAGGTTGTCACCATGTAATGTTTGTTCATGGGTCTGTGTAAAATTAAGTGATGATCTGAGTCCCATTGGATTTGGAAAGCACTTGCAGCACAGAAGGCAATAATTAGCATTATTGCTGATGGTCTCTATAACTAGTCCAAGCGTTAAGCAGAGGCAAAAATGTAATTTAACTTTTTGTTCTTAAAGGTTTTATTCCTTCATGTCAGTTAAGTCAGACTGGACGAGCAGCAAGAAGAATTTCACTTTATCTGATGCCCACACTATACTTGTTCTTTGCAACAAAACAAACATTTCAACTTACAAAGCCAGCAAATCAAGCAGTGTATACAAACATAATCTCTTCCAAATAAAATTGAAATAGTACTTAAAAAACACCAACAGATAACAAATCCACACTTGTAAAGGAATGATAAAAACTTTAGTCATTGATGTTGAAAGTTGAAGTGAAGCAAAAGGCAGTACTTCTGTGGAACCCCTCTTTGTCACACCATTAGCTATGCTAACTGTAGCCTGAATAAAATTTGTCCATGTTTGAAAGTTTTTCACACCACAAAACTCAAAGTGGAGATAGCTGTCAAGTATACTAACAGGTCTTTCTTCAACTGCTTGATTTCTGGTTGCATAAGCATTTTGTAATGTGTGTAGACTCTTTTGGAGTGTATTTAAGCTAATGATAGTAGGATTGCTTTGAGAGAAAAACACTACATCACAGCAAGAAAAGTCTCTCACTGGCCATGAATAGACTGGCAAGGTTATAGTGGTAGATGAAGGAATTTGATGATGTGAATAATTATGAAGATATGGCCCAGATATGGCACTTAGTGGGTGGTACAGGGAACAAAAATCAATCTACTGTGTAAAATTCTCAATGAATTTATTGAGCCTGGCAGAGATAATGAATTCCACAGAAGTTCAGTCTACCAAAACATCAAGGAATTTAAGTTTAATCCCTTTTAAGTTTGTCACTGTATTTGCCAAGTTTACTGAAAGTGGGAATAGGTACACTGTCCTGATTGTTGACATGCTATATTTCTTTTTCTAGGTTCTGTCCTTAGGGGCTGATGTTCTACCAGAATATAAACTCCAGACACCTCGCATCAACAAGTTTACTATATTGCACTATAGTCCTTTTAAAGCTGTCTGGGACTGGCTCATTTTGCTGCTGGTAATATATACTGCAATCTTCACCCCTTACTCTGCTGCCTTCCTTCTGAATGATAGCGAGGAACGGAAGAGAAGAGAGTGTGGATATTCTTGCAGCCCACTGAATGTTGTAGACTTAATTGTGGATATTATGTTTATCATTGACATTCTAATCAACTTCAGAACAACATATGTAAACCAGAATGAAGAAGTGGTAAGTGACCCAGCAAAAATAGCAATTCACTACTTCAAAGGCTGGTTCCTAATTGACATGGTTGCTGCAATACCTTTTGACCTGCTGATTTTTGGCTCTGGCTCTGAAGAGGTAAGCTTAAATAAATGAGAAATCTTAAATCTTAAGTTTTGATATTAGTGCAGTAATCTGTGTATCCAAATATATTTTTTGCTACTCAATTAATAAGCTTTTTAGTAGTTCCATCTTTTAAATTAAAGCTAAAATTAAATCCTCCTTAGTAGAATAATGTAGAATATTGTATATATCAAGGAATATTGTCTTGTCAATGCCTTTCATTGGCAGGAGAAAAGTTGAACAATTCCATTTCTGTTGTTCTATTATACCAAATTTGATACTACCATTACAAATAATGACATATATAACAAGTATAAAGGATTTGCTTAAATATTTTTATTTCAGAACTTTTGTTCCTTTGACTTGCTGCTGATTTTGTAAAAATTGCCCATAATGCATAAGTATTGTGTTGGCATTTAAGTACTAAAATAAATTACCTCTGTTCAAAATCTTTAGATCAGATGTTTACTCAGTGTAGAACAGTGTAGTTGAAGTGCAAAGTATGCTAGTCATTGCCAGTTAACAAAAAGATTTGGCTGTTGTCAATTTTATCAAGAATATGGACTACCAAAAGAAAGAAAAGATTATTAATCTTGCCAGACTGACAGCTCACATGACCAATGTGTTCACCCTATCTGTAGAATGGGTTAACAAAGTGCCCAATACATGCATCTCAAAATTGCCCAAAGGTATATATAAAACATGCACTGTATTCTCGAAGCCTGACCCAGTTCTGCCTCCTTCCAAAGAATTTTTATTTAATTTTAGAAGGTCTAAAGTAATAACATATTTTTTGATAAAAACTGAACTGACAAGTAGAGAATTGCAGTTTTTCTTTTCATGATCCATAGAATAAAGTAGTTTCAAAAATAAAAATAAAAATAGCAAACCCAGCAAAATATTATTCTGTCTCTTTTCAAAGGACAGAAATCCATTTTTTTAAAAATACTGTTTTGCACATATTGACTTACAGGAAACAGAAAGTTTTATTGACCATATGTACCTCTCCTTAACTGAGGAGAGAAAAGTGAAAACACCAAATTAATCAGCATTCTTAGCATGAGCTTTGGCTGCATATGTCTGTGTAATAATATAAAAAATATGAAAACATTTTTCCATTTGAAAATGAATTCCTTTGTATAAAAGTCATTTACTGTGAAGGCAATTTTTTTTTTTTACATCTGCCCCAAAAGCCTAAACTGAATTCTGAGTGTATACTAGCTATTCTCACAAATTATACATAAACTTAAGAAAGTAGTTAAGTGTCAATGCAAAACAATTGGCACATGTCTATACACACCTTGAGAGATTATTTCTCATTTGAGATTTTTCAGTCTTAAACAAATTCAGAAGTAGGGTCAGTCATGCTTTTCTTAAATTCATTTTCTCAAAAATTTTGTAATGAAAATGTTTTCCTGTGTCCTGTATTTATAAAGTTATCTAATTCAGAAGTCATGGAAATCAATAAGAACATTCCAATCAATTGTGATATTCCTGTTGATTTGAACATGAGTATACATACTTAAGGTAAATGAGCAATCTGGAGACGCAAGTAGGAAATACCATGCAGTCAAAATCATGTTTTTTAAAATAATGAAATAAGAAGAAAAAGAAAGTAAAGGACAGAGGGAATATGCTGACAGTTACCAAAAGAAAACTTTTGTATTCAGAACGTGACTTAAAAGCTCAGAGATTCAAGAGAAACTGTTTGCTCACCTTTTGCATTCATTGTCTGTGATATATCTCAGTCTTTCAGATTTTTTTTTCTGCATTTTTGATAGTGCAGGCACATGAACAACAAATATACTGACAATGGCATTACTTCTAACTTGGACCATATCGTGCCCTTGCAAGAGTGGTCTGCTTCCCTCTCTGATCAGTGAGCACTCATCACTGCCAAAAATTCTGTTCAGCTATAGGAAGTGTGAAACGGCATGAATTACAATGGTAATCAATTCCAAAGTTCAGTGAAGGATTGCTCTTTGGATCATCATCATACCCTAAAAATCATCCTACCACCCCTCACCTGCTACAGAAATCCTTAACAGTACAGTGCCAGGTGCTAAACTGATGCTAAAGGGATAGCTTTAACATAAGATAATATTAAATATTAGTAGAAGACAGGTGCATTTCTACAGATGAGTAGCTAAATATCAAAACCGGGAATTATCAGAAATTATTGGACGAAGTAATCACTCTTCAGTGATTTGTGGGGACAGGACAAGGGGTAATGGCCACAAAATTGAGCACAGGAAGTTCTGCACCAACATGAGAAAGAACTTCATGTTGAGGGTGATGGAGCACTGGAACAGGCTGCCCAGGGAGGTTGTGGAGTCTCCTTCTCTGTAGATATTCAAGGCCCATCTGGGCCAAGTTCCTACCTGGGAAGCCTGCTCTAAGGAACCTGCTTTGGCAGGGGGGTTGGACCCGATGATCTCTCGAGGTCCCTTCCAACCCCTACAATTCTGTGATTCTATGATTCTGTAATGACATTTTCAGTATTTCAGATATAAGTAAATTAATTATTTATTCTCTCCAAACCTGTTAATTGAAGTTTCACTATTGGTAAAAAATAGTTTGTTTACCTAATCAGCAATGAAACTATACACATTATGACCAGTTCATCATGCCATACTGACTTCTCTCTCTCATTCATGGTATTAAATATGTCGATCACTTTTTTTAAGCCTTTACTTACTGCAATTTTGCTTCCTATATTGCTAACTATAATATTTCCACAGAAATCCCTTTTTGATAGTTTACTTAGAGGAAGCAAATGTAAAACTGTTAGAATGAAGCCTTTTTCATTTAATAGATTTTTTTGCTGTCATGAGGGTTATCTCTTTTATGAAATAGCTCTTTTTTGTTATCTAGAGATTCTTCAAATAAGATCTCCTATGAACAATTGTATTGAACAGTCTTTTTATTAAACAGCATAAGCTCCAAAGAGAGCTCTGTGTGTGCTCACCCAGCTTTAAAACACCTTGATATCAAACCAAGTCTAGAAAGGGCAGGAGATAATAATCCAAATACCACATGCGGCACTATCTGAATGCTTCCATTTGAGCTATACTTTGTCAGCCATAGGAAAGCAACAGAGCAAAACAGTTAACTTTCCAATTTCTAAAGTGAGAATTAATAGAATTTAAAATGAACTTTCTGTTTTAAAAGACTCTTAAAATTATTATGGCTAGTAATAAACTACTGCCTTTTGTGTGTGCGTGTTTTAAATATTAAGTGACATTCCTGATATTTATGAAGATAAAATAATGGATACATAGACTTTTTACTTTATATTCTTTTGGTAGTTTATTTTTAATTACGCTGGTCATCTCAGAGAAAAACAGATAAAGAAAAAAAATAGAAAACCAGAATTTCTTCCCTTTCATCTAGAACTTACTGCACTAAAACATACTGACGAATGATGGCAATGGTTTCAGCAACATAATTTTCATATTTTTTGTTTATTTGAGGTCAGATATAACACTCAGCTGAAATATGAAAAAAGGAAAAAGAAAAAAAAAAAAACTATGAAGGTTTTCACTTTTTTCTGTTTCTACAAATAATAGTGATTAAAACTATTTTACAACTAAACACATCAACAGGAAAACTGCTGCCTTAGGACATAAAAATAAATACATTGAATACATTGATATATATTGGTATATCCAGTATACTCACAAAATGTAAGGGTGAAAGTGTCTTCTATTGGTAGCAATAGAACAAGAAAATAGGTGGGGTTTGGATGAAAGGGAGACATATAAATCAAACGTTCCTCTCTAAGTTTTGACATGTCTTCACTTATACAGTGTATCTGATAAAGCAAAACAAAAAGAAAAGTCCAGCAGTTCTAGAATTGGAGACTGAACCTGAGAGTCCTAACTGCAGCACCACCGATCTTTAACATCTGCTTCCCCCATCACACAAAATGAAAAGCTAAATTCTGAAATGTGTTAGGGATTTGTATCGGAGAGAAAATAGTTAACTGTACTTGATACTCTACTACTCATGCTTCATAGATTTATTTGCAGTCTGCAAGAAGGGTAGAATGATGGTAATCGTTTTACCAAAAAAGTTTCGGTGCAAGAAAATATCGAGAAACTGAGGACCTTATAATACCAGGAAGATGGAAAGAACCCTGGCAGATGAAATACCATGTAAGCAAGTGTACATTGGAAGAGACAGTTTGAGCTACTTGTACACATCAGTGGGTTATTTGGTTGAAAAAAGAGACAAATAAGAGAGGGCATTAAAGATACATGCATTAATGATAATGGATGTTATGAAGAAAGAAAAAAAAATCTAGAACAAAAGTAAGGATTTCTCCATCAGTGAGAAAGTCACCAATTGTAAATGACTTTTTGCAGAGAGGAGGTTTAGGCTAGGGTTCCTCCTAGGGAAAGGTTCTTCACCAAGAAAGTGTTCAGGCACTGGAACAGGCTCCCCAAGAAAGTGGTCACAGCAATGAGCCTGACGGAGTTCAGAAAGTGTTTGGACAACACTCTCAGACATAGGGCCTGATTTTTGGATGATCCTGTGTAGGGCAAGGAGCTGCACTCGATGATCCTTGTAAGTCCCTTCCAAATCGGGGTATTCCGTGATCACATGAAATGTCTTCTATGCTGTTATTTAACTCATGCAAAGAACCATGTAGATGTCAAAGAACCATTGTAGACATGACATATGGCTTTTATTTTTTATTTTTTGTACTATTACTAGAGTAAAAAAGTAAAAAAAAAAAAAAAAAAAAAAAAAAAAAAAATTTACACCAGGGGAAAAATATCTATTTATATATTATTACCATTTGAAAAATGAGGAGCAGTTCCTCAAGTACATCATGTCTCTTTTACTGGGAGGTGTTCTGTCTGCATATTTATAGTGTCTGCACTATGAATACGTTCAATTATAGGGTCAAAATCTTTACTGTCTTTACTGTAAGTCTATACAGAGTCTGCAATTTAAAGTATTGTTCTTAACAAGGTTATTAAGAACAAAATATGGCAAAAAGATGATCGTCTGGAGGAACATACGTGGATGAGGATTCTTTCATTTAGGACAATTTTGCTTTCAAGCCATTGCTGAAACAGTTATTACTTTGTGTGTCTTCTTAAAGAAGTTGTGTTATTTTCTCACTGCACAATAAAAAGATAAAGATTATGTTTTTTCACACCCTTCTGAAATTATCAGTTATTATTTTTCATTCCTTTTAAAAAATAAAAAATTAAAATTAAAAAGTGTTATACTCTTTTGGGGAACATTTATATGGGAAGAGCTGCAGTTGTAACTGGAATGAAAATCGTTATAGAGAATTACTGTCATATACATATATACACTTCTAATCCAGGTCTCCATTCTGTACTATAGCTGGAAAATATCAAAAAAAAAAAAAAAAAAAAAAAAAAAAAAAAGTGTTTTGAAAGGACAGGTAGTGCAATAACCAAACAGGACAAAAATATCAAAATTAAGTTGCCTATATTGATTAAAAAATATATATATATAGGTTAGCAGAATGGGATATGTAAACATAACATAAAAGAGCGCTGCTCTTTTTTACTTTTCTCAATAATTTGGTTTACTTGTGGTGAATAAGTAAATTTGAGAATCTACAATGTATCTTTCCACAAAATCTATTTAAAATTGATATTACCCTAAAATCTTCATCTTGGTAATAAATCTTACCAATAAAGAAAAAACTTCTTCAATGTCTGTAGGGGTTTTAGATTCTGAAAGCACTTAAATGTATTCTGTGGTCTTAATGAATTCCAGTTTGTATATACAGTTAAGTGCCTTAGGTAAATGGAATGCTGTTTGCACTGAATATATTATACCGGGGTGAAATGAACCTTTTTCCATCTTCTACCATTCCATATTCACAGTTTCAGTAGTTATGAAATTCTTATATACTTCCAGCCTACAGTAAATGTTGCTACTGAAAATAATAATAATAATGATAATAATAATAATTTAAAAAAAAAAAAATTGATGCTGGGTATCCAGCAACCCTTGAACTTGTCCAAGTGATAAAGCCAGGTATGATGAAAATAGGGCAGCAAGCAATTCAGAGAACAGAGAATCATCAATCAGGTTGCTATTTACAGATGTTAATTGCTGGAACTGAATGGGTAAAGCAGACAGAGTGGGACTTCTGCCTCCTTGTGTGCCGTGCTAAGTGAAGTATTCCCAACACACCAAGGAAAATAAGCTGCATGAGGCATAGTTCTGACACCAAGTACGTCTGTCCCTGTGCAAATGACACATCAGAGGCAGACTGTACTTTGTGAACTCTACATCCACACTGAGAAGCGGACAGCATATAAAAGCACACCAAAAACTGTGGATCATGCTTACCACCTCTACTGTCAGCAGTATTTCAGAGTTTCTGCTGAGTTAAAGGAAGCACAAACACACGATTGGTTTCTTGATAGTTTAAAACATATCTGGTTCCCTTCAGTGCTGATTTCACCCTGAAGACCTGTGTTATACACCTCTGGCATACGCCAGATCTCACACGGGTGCAGTATCTAAGCATGCAGCTGACATTGAGGCTGCATAATATTAACAAGTCTTATCTTAAGAATGTTGTCTTAACATAATTGTTGACTTGTTTGGAATTCACAATCTACCTACAGATCTTTTTAAGGGATGCTGTAAGAAAATGTTGCATCTTGCATAGTGTAAAGATATAATTACATCTGTAATAGAATGGTTTCAACAGCCTCACTAGGACAAATATTATCTTTTTAAAAGTTTACTCTAGACATTAAGGGATCATATATATTAAAGCCTGACCTACCTTACAAAAAAAGTACCTAATGACAATATTCACATGCTGAAGCTCAACTAAGGCATAAGTTTTTGAAGGATATGTGGTGTACCTGTCTATTGAGGTCACAATCAATAAAACAGCCTTCTTTATAGAAATTCCCTATGAAATTATTCTTTGTGATGTTAGGTTAACCAGAGTGTTACCCAGTTTTACTGTATATTATCCTCTTGCTCATTTACTCAGAAAATACAGACATGTATATTACATTGCACTTAGTATACATGCATGTTAAAAAAGGAAGTAAAAATATTTTAAATGTATCTTGACACTTACTGTACTTTAATATATGCTTAGATTTAATGGTAAGAAAATGGTAAGGTTATTTTTGAAATACAGTAGTTATAATTTACAATGTTGTCAATGTCTTTTACGAGGAGTTTAGAAGTAATGCAAAGTTTCACAGATTGATTTGAAAATTGTGAATTTACCTTACTAAGCATTAGATTTCTTTAGAAAGTTCAGAACCCCAAATGGACTGTAATCAATCATGATGCTGATCAGCACTTAAATGCTTGGAAAATATTCCTGTCCTATATCTGACCCATATTTCTTTTAAAATGTGTAGTACTTTTATTATTGACCTCTACCACTACACCTGCAAGTTGCAGAATGAAGGATGTAGAGAACATTAACCTGGAGTGTGGCAACAGTAACATTTCCATGATTTTCTTTGCATAATGGCTCATCTTTTTTTTGCCTGAATACAGTGTTCTGAGCATTACAGACAGAAACAATATTTGCAGAATAAGATATTTATTCTTTTGGGGTCATTTCTTCTCTATGCCTCTTCTCTTCTAGAACATGAATGGCAGAGCATTGTAAGAAGTCTCCAAGTTAGTATCAAATTGTCACACACCTAGTGTTCTTGTTTCCTTCACTGTTTTTATAATGAATTTGATAGAAAATGCGATGAATTTGCAAGAAAATGCAATCAAGATGACATTGAAAAGGGTTACTCTACTGCTTTTGTCTGTTCCCCAGAAATAATGGAATTTGCACTGGTTTATTCATGTCAATTAATTGTATGTTTGCTAACAGGGAAAATCTTTTTCAATTTATATCTTTTTTTACAGACAACAACATTAATAGGTCTTCTGAAGACAGCTAGACTGCTGCGTTTGGTGAGGGTAGCACGGAAATTGGACAGATATTCAGAATATGGTGCTGCAGTTCTGATGCTCCTTATGTGCATATTTGCACTAATTGCACACTGGCTTGCTTGTATTTGGTATGCCATTGGAAATGTAGAAAGACCTTACCTGGCACATAAGATTGGCTGGTTGGATTCTTTAGGAGAACAATTAGGAAAGCATTACAATAAGAGTGATGCAAGCTCTGGACCATCCATCAAGGACAAATATGTTACAGCACTTTATTTTACATTCAGCAGTCTGACAAGTGTAGGATTTGGAAATGTGTCTCCAAACACCAACTCAGAGAAAATCTTCTCCATCTGTGTTATGTTGATTGGCTGTAAGTAGTTTATTATTATTACTATTATTATTGTTATTATTATTTTGTGGTGTTGAGCAAATAACTTAACGAAGTCTAAGCTAGTAAAATTATAAGCATGCAGCTGGAGAGGCAAACTCCTAAGGAAAGCAACCGTTATATGTGAAAATATGTTGTGATGACTCATGCAGTGTCAGGAAGCCTGAGGTATCAATGTTTCTTAGATTGTGCTGAACCAACTTAAAGCGGTTATTAGAAAAAAGCTACATTTTTTAAGGTCTATGAGCATGTATCTAACTAACTGACTGTTTTTAAATATTCTTTTCAAACCTGGAGATACAAATTTATGTGTACTTTCTTACTTCTGCCCTTTGTTCTTAACTTTGTACTTGGCTTTAATTCCTAATTCCTACCTCTACCAAAAACTGTAAAATCAGATGAACCTAACTTACAACAATAAATTCAAGGCTACAAATCTCCAAAGAAAAATATTGCCATCTTGATTACTATTTAATATTTAAACTTCTTCTGCAGAGTTGGTTCTGATATAATCAAACAAATAAAAAGCTTCAAGTAATTCAAATCCACATCTGAAAGTGTTACTAGTCTTCCCTGAGCTGTTCTGTCTACAAAGTTCACTATTGTGCACTGTTGCATCACCTGCAAAACCCAATGATAGAACTTAAGCACATTTTGTTTCTATTTAATCCAGCATTAATGTATGCTAGTATTTTTGGAAACGTATCTGCAATAATCCAAAGACTCTATTCGGGAACTGCACGGTATCACATGCAGATGCTGAGAGTAAAGGAGTTTATACGCTTTCATCAAATCCCTAATCCTCTGCGGCAGCGACTTGAGGAATACTTCCAGCATGCGTGGACGTACACCAATGGCATTGACATGAACATGGTATGTTTTTCTGGTTTTCAGGCATGGGTGCTGATAAATGGATGTGAATTTAGAAAGTGATCGTGAGTCTTCATTATTTATAACTTTAACAGTATGAGTTTTAGAAGATGTGTTTATAGCAATTATTGAAAATCAAGCCATTTCAAAGTTGGCATTAAAACATTTAGGTGCTTAGATTATTACAAGCTATAGCAGAAATCTGAACTCTTATAGTGCATAGGAAAATGAGAATTGCAGTGGACTATTATAAGCTTAAGATAAGGAAAAAGAAAAAAAAAAAAAAAAAGTGGGCTTGCTGCATACATAGGTGATTCAGAAATTTGTTTGTTCTTTGGTCTGATTTTCCACTACCAGTATAAAACAAGAATACCTTTATTGGTATCTACAGCATTACCCTTATAGAAAGCCTGCAGCCAACACCTTTACAAAATCTTATCATGTAATTTACATCAGGTAAATTGGCGGTGGATGGAAGAAAGGATCAGGCAGATGGGTCAACTGCTCTTTTCGAGAGAAATACTCTGATCATCCAAACATTCCAAACAGTAGCTTGCTTGTAACCATGTAATTTTGTACTGAAAGTCAACACAATACTACTAATCATTCAGGAATCCACAGAACCTCATTTCTAGGAAATGGCAAGGTACAAGACTTTCTGTTCCTGAGATCTGATTTTAGGGATTGATTAAAAAACTTGCAAATGCTCCTTATGTAGATATATTTGGCCAGATAAAAAACAATAACAATTTTCTAATGACCAAAAGTAAGCATCTATATTTCTAGTTTCTTTTCTGAAGATAGCAGCTATTTTTCTGAAAAGTTGACTTAGTTTAGAAGACACTGAGAGAACTGAGCATCATAAGTATCTGTGAATCCATGTCTCTGGAGGAATACTTTCCAGAGCTATTCTGAGTTAAAAAGACTTTGCAGAGCTCTCCAAAAAGTTGGCAAAACCAATAAAACTCTATAAATTCTGGTGACAATTTAACTAGAAATCAACCTCCCAAATTTTGACAAATTCAAACAGCTTCCGTGTGGCATCCGTACGCACATTTGTGAATAAGACTGTTAAAGTGGTATACTTTTCTGCTGTAAGCAGAAACTATAGTCTTGGTTTAAAGCTTTTATAAAGCTGAATCCATGACAGCCTGAGTTTACGGTTACCATTAAGTAAAGCAGATCTTAAAAGTAAGACAAGAGCTTAAATATATTGGGCTTCACCTCCCACTTCCACAAGTGTCCCCCCCAGAGGGATATTATGTCCAGCTCAGAATAAGGATATTTGTATAAGCCTCTGCTGGGGATTACTGCAGTGAATGGCAGCAACAGTAGCTTCATCCTACATAGCACTGAAAGGCCTTAATTCCCTCCGATGGCAATGGGAGTATGGGATACTCAGCACTTTGTAGGATCAGGCCCTTAAGCTGCAGGTGGGTGCAGCCTAAGCCTAAAGTAGTTTATTGAATTATTTCTGAAGATATTACAAAATCATGTATGCCTTAACTAATTCATTAGCACTAATGGATGTACAAACACCTGTTTCACATGAAATAGTAACTAAAACTGGATGTTGTCAGGTTAAACTTTGCGTAATGCAAGAACTGGTGTAATGGAAATAGTCTTGGATTTGTCATTGATGTGAAAGAGTAACTAAATGGATTTAATAGCCCATATTCTGAAATATGATTGTGAGGCAGTATGGAGGCTTTTTTTTTAAATAAAAAGTGGAAAAAAAAATCAAGTTTAGCATCTTGTTATGTTTTATCTCTTGCTGAGTTCACAATTCTAACCCTCAGGTTTTATGGCACTTAATTTTCATAAAATGTGAGTTTGAATATATTACACTTGGTGCAAGGATAATATGACAATTGTTTGATTTACTTTGTACTTATGAAAGATTTATCTCTTTCCTGTCTGCTTCATACCTAAATACATGGAATAACACCACCCACTGGTAAGAGCAGGAGGTATTTATATCAAATTTAATTCCAGTATAAAGTGTGGAGAATATCCATGTTATCTGTTGGGTTTAGAGCTTGTTCAGTGCTTTCTAATTTTATTTATTTATATTTTTTTTTTGCATGATGAAGGGGTAGTTAGCGAAGGGATATAATCCAAGTGGAATCAAATGTGGGGCAAAATGGCTACTAAAATTAGGAATTAAGAAATGCTAATCTAACCACATTTATTAATCACTGTTTTACCCCACAACTCAAATCATGCTTTTCTGCCCAAAAAAGGTCATGTGCATATTGGTTTGCATTAGATAGTTGCTCTGTAGGAATGTCACTGACAAAGTTGCCATGCTGATCATTCTGCATTATCCTTTGTGTGAATGCTCTTAGTTCTGACCATATATGCATGTTAGCACAAGCATCAATGAAGTTTTCTCGGCTATAAGCCATGTGCATATGAATGGACTTGCATGTGGTATTGAGAACCTAATTTTGCATGAAATATTTGCATTTACACACCAAAGGGCTAATACTGCCCTCAGACAAATGTGTTTGACTCCTGTTGATATTTACTAGGAGTTTTTTACAAATATCTGAAGGCAGAATTTGATCCAATCTTTCTTTTTCATTTCATTTCATTACTGAAAATTGAGTAAAATTAGAAAACTCAATCCTCTTTCTCCTTTGAAATATGAAATGCATGAATAACTTACTATATATATATGTACAGACCATGTATACATACACACATATATATATGAAAATAATACTAGAAAACATGTTTCAAAAGATGCTTTTAATTGTCATCAGTAGTATACATAAGAAATCAGGAAATGTGGAAAAAATATAAATTCAGGAATAATACTGTATTAAGACTACATAGCCGTGTTTTCTTAAACAAAGTCCTACACTTTACACTGAAAATCAGAAGATAATATATTTTTTTATTTGAAATGGTTAAACTTAAAAGTAGCTTTAAAAATTTGCTGTTGAAATATCCTGAGAACATTGCTTATTTGTACATTTGTTCCCCTCCACTTCATTTCTACATCTCTTTGATTATGTTTCATTGCATAATGTATTTTGATAAAAAACAGTTCCACATAATTATGCATGGACTGGATAAACAGGATTTGGGATTTATTTTAATCTGGATAAAAATCTTGAGTCTACAGAATAAGCATAATTTAAATCATATCCCTGTGGTATACACTGGCAAAGTTAAATTCCAAGAAAATTATTTACAGTCTATATTGTTTCATGAAATATCTCACCAGTCTCAAAGATTCAATTACTTTTCTTTTTTTAAATTATCCTGTTCTGTTTTTCCTAAATTCTCTTTGCCTTCTTTTCCCTACTTCATTCCAGCATTATCAGTCCAGCACTGATAATAGCATGCCTGTGATGCTTTCTTTAAAAAGATAACCTATTTAGTGTTTGAGATCCTTTTTTAAGTTATGCATGTATTTTTTATAAATTCCCCCTTTCTTTCCATGGATCTTCTGTACATCAGAATAGCTTTATTGGTTTATTTTACCTTAAATAAAATAAAATAAAATAAAAAAGTTCAAAGTAAATAATTGGGACAAGTTTAGAAAGTGTTTAGCCAAATGTAAGTTAATTAAAATTTTGGATGCAGGACAGATACGTTTTTGGTTTGGGCTTTGGTAGTATGAAAGGAGAGAGCAAGTCAACATTTTTACGTATAAATTTATGGAACCTTTATCTAGCAAGCATCCAGGCAAATGGTTGTTTTTATACTTGTAACTAGTTGTGGCTTCAGCGATTAAACAAGTACAGCAGGACACACAGCTATCTCGACAGTTCAGAACCAGCAATGCCACTTTATGCAACTTAAAGGCAGGTTCATCATTGCTTTGGTAAGGCTTCTTTTGTAAGAAATTGGACACTGGTCACTGAAACCACTATACTTTGTAATTCTTGCTTTTGCCACTACTGTAATCCCTTCTTAAGACCAAAACAAATCTACCAATACAACTGCTGCCAGCAGTATCTTTGAAACAGAAAGACAGGAAAGTAAACTCAAATTTCAAAAATAGCAATGTTGCTTATAACATCAGAAGAGTAATCCAAATTAGAAGTGTTTGGAACAAAAACTAGTAGTAATTGGTTACACAGAGGGAATATGTAATCATGATGAAAAGTGGTACTGTTACTTGCCTCTATGTCATGATGGAAATCATACAACATAAGCTTACCAAAAAGTACCTTAGATATGAGATATGTAAAGCTGTTCATTTATGTAAAGCTGTTCTTTCTTTTTCTGTAACAAGACTACTTAAAAAACATGCATGACTACATTTAATCAAGTTATGGGAAAGAAGATCTCATATAAACAATATGAGGTTCGAGAATGTCAATCTATTTGCAAAGTGATCTTTTATCAGTTTCTCTCTGAATGGCTTGGTCTAACATCTCAAAACAAGAGCAATTAATAATTTTCCAACTATCATCACCATATTTTTGGAAATATGTGGATCTAGCCTACTTCCAGCTTGTGCAGGCATTCACCTTTTTGTTTGATTAAAAAGTCAACTTCTGAGGAAGCTGAAATAATTTTCTGTCCTCTTTATCCAGCAATATAACATCTCAGAAATCACCTTTCAGATGTACTCAGAAAGTTTGGTAAGATAAAGAATGATCCACTGCAGCTCCAATAATTTCACACAAATCTCTTTCATGGCAATAAGTGAAAGCAGAAGAAACTAATTCTTGATAAGGTTGTCAGCCATCAAATCTCATTGAAAAGTGAATTAGTACATCATCACAACTTCTCTTCTCTCTCAACTGTTGTAAGGACCTACTTCATATCCTGCCAAAACAAAACAAACAAAAAAAAAAAAGATTCTGACTCTGCAATATTTTCTGGTACAAAGAAGAATCATCAGAAATAATTCTTATTCTTTGTAGGAGTCCAAGAGCTGCTGAAACAGAATTATCACCACCTGTGACCTTGTTTATTCTTTTCTAAATGGTGAAAGCCCTTGGAAATACTTCAGCCTTCTGCTTATAGAAATACTTGAT